CACTGTCGCACACGACATCCTTTGGAAAAACATGCAAGACATGGACTTCCCAGAACACATCCTCCTCCTACTGAAATCGATGTACGGCGCTCAAAAAGCAGCTGTGAGAACCACCTACGGCTTAACGGATTGGTTTGACATCGGCCAAGGAGTGAGACAAGGTTGTATCATTTCCCCAAACCTGTTTAATATCTACTCTGAAGCAATCATGAGAAACTCTCTTTTTGGATTCGAAGGATCAGTGAAAGTCAGTGGACACTCAATTACCAACTTGAGATACGCGGATGATGTAGCACTCATTGCTGGAAGTATGGGAGAACTTCAAGATCTAGTAGACAGAGTCCGTCTTGAAAGTGAAAAATCAGGACTTTTTCTCAATGCAAAGAAGACAAAAGTTATGAAGATCAGAAAGAAGCCCGATGACAACGACGAAACGACCATCAGAATCAACAACGAGCCGATAGAGAACGTCAAACAATTTACTTATCTGGGAGTAGTCTTCACAGACAATTACGATGACAGTGTGGAGATAAAAAGGAGACTTGCGATTGCCAAGAACGCGACTGTCGCCGTAACAAAGATCTGGAAAGACAAAAACATCTCTCTTCGAACCAAAAAACGACTTCTCACCTCTTTAGTGTTCTCAGTTGCCACCTACGGAGCTGAATGCTGGTCGCTCAAACAGTCTGACAGAAATAGAATTGACAGCTTCGAGCTCTGGTGTTACCGACGTCTGCTTCGTATCAGCTGGACAGAGAAGAAAACCAACGAAGAAGTGCTCCAACAAATCAACTGTGAACATCGATTGATTGACATCATCAATGCAAGAAAGCTCAAATTCATCGGACACATCCTACGCAGCGACAACCTCGACAATGTGCTCCTGACCGGCATGGTCTTCGGCCCCAGAGGGCGAAGACGTCCTAAAACGCAGTTCTGGGACGACATTCGCCAGCTAACCGGTATGGGCATCAGAGAAGCAGTTCGACTGGCACAGGACCGGGACGGCTGGAGACTGATGGTGCAGAGGGCCACGGCTGGTCGTAATCGACCAAACTGTTGATGATATATATATATATATATATATATATATATATATATATATATATATTATATATACATGTATATTTTTATATACATACATACATATATGCATATATCTATATCTATGTCTATATATGCATATATATATAGAAATATAAATATATTATATATATATATATATATATATATATATATATATATATATATATATATATATATGCATATAAAATAAACACACACACACACACACACACACACACACATATATATATATACATATATATATATATATATATATATATATATATATATATATATATATATATATATATATTTATATATATATATATATATATATATATATATATATATATATATATATATATATACCTGAACCTGAATCATATCCAACTCAGAAACATCCTGAAACTGGGAACCTGGAACGTTCGAAAGCTAAAGAACTTGGGAAACTTAACACCATTTGTAACGAAATGGACAGGTACGATCTGAAAATTTCTCGGTATCTGTGAGACTAACTGGAATGGAAAAGGTAGCTTCACTATCTCCACGCACCATTCAGTTCTGTTCTCTGGGAATGAAGAAGGATATAACCACGGAGTAGCAGTCATCCTCTCCAAAGAAACAAAGAAGACTCTTATTGGTTACAGTCCTGTTAATGACAAAATTTTGAAAGTCAGACTCCATGCGAAACTACACAATGTATCTATCATTCAATGCTATGCACCAACTTCAACAGCTAGTGACGAAGAAATGAAGACCTTTTATAACACCTTGCAGGAAACGATCGATTCCATCCCCAGTAGAGACGTGAAGCTATTAATGGGAGACTTCAATGCCAAAGTTGGTTCTCAAAACATCTCTAACTCAACCTATGGAAGATTCGGTCAGGGACATCAAAACGAAAGGGGAGAAGATCTTATTGATTTCTGTAGCACAAACAATCTGACAATCACAAACACAATGTTTAAACATCACCCTAGACATTTATACACCTGGACTTCACCCGACAAGAAAACTCGTAACCAGATTGATTATATCCTTCTTTGCCAGAAATGGAGAAGTTCCATTAAGAATGTGAGAACAAGGCCAGGTGCAGACTACAACAGTGACCACCAACTTCTTGCAGCGGATATCAAATTCAACCTGAAGAAGATGAAACAACCTCCGCACCCGATCAGACTTGACTATGAAACGCTAGACGACAACTACAGAGTCAGAATTACGAACAAATTTGCATATCTTCTGCTTTGCGAGGAAGAACGATCGGCTGACGATCTGTGGAATGCTGGCAAAGAAATTATCATTCGAACCGCTGCAGAAACCATCGACAAGAAAACGAAGAAATCTACCACTTGGATCTCTGATGAAACACTTGAAGAAATTAAGATCAGAAGAGAGATTAAATCAAAAAGACTTGACAGTCCAGTAGGCGAAGCTCTTTACAGAAACCAAAACGCAAATATTCAAGGAAAGATGAGAAAAGACAAAGAGAAATTCATCGAACAACAATGTCTGAAAATTGAAAAAAAAAAAAAAAAAATGCCGTCAACAACTCTACCAAAGAACTCTACCAAGGATTCAAAAACCTGACAAAATCTTTCAAACCATCAGCTGATACCATCAAGTCAGAAGACGGGACAGTTCTCTGTGATGGAGATGAAATCAAAGAAAGGTGGAAAGAGTACTGCTACAAACTGTACGAGAAGAACAACTTGCCACCTATCCATCTCGATCTCACGGTTTCTGAACCAGAACCTCCACCCCTTATTGATGAAGTTAAAGAAGCAATCAAAGATCTTAAAAACGACAAGAGTCCTGGAGCAGATGAAATCACCGCTGAATTAATCAAGAATGGAGGCCCGAACATCGAAGCTTTCTACCACAAACTCTGCTGCAAAGTCTGGAACGACCAGAAGTGGCCTGCTGATTGGTTGAAATCCGTTTTTGTCCCAATCCCGAAGAAAGGAGACACGTTGCAGTGCACTAACAACAGGACCATCGCGCTCATAAGCCACAGCAGCAAAATCCTTCTGAAAATCATCGCAAAAAGAATGCATTGGAAAATGAAAGCTGAGATTGCTGAAGAACAAGCGGGATTCAGAGCTGGAAGAGGCACAAGGAACCAAATTCTGAATCTAAAAATGGGCATCGAAAAGAACCGTGAACATAACAAAGATCTGTTCCTCTGCTTTGTCGACTACACCAAAGCTTTTGACACTGTCGCACACGACATCCTTTGGAAAAACATACAAGACATGGACTTCCCAGAACACATCCTCCTCCTACTGAAGTCGATGTACGGCGCTCAAAAAGCAGCTGTGAGAACCACCTACGGCTTAACGGATTGGTTTGACATCGGCCAAGGAGTGAGACAAGGTTGTATCATTTCCCCAAACCTGTTTAATATCTACTCTGAAGCAATCATGAGAAACTCTCTTTTTGGATTCGAAGGATCAGTGAAAGTCAGTGGACACTCAATTACCAACTTGAGATACGCGGATGATGTAGCACTCATTGCTGGAAGTATGGGAGAACTTCAAGATCTAGTAGACAGAGTCCGTCTTGAAAGTGAAAAATCAGGACTTTTTCTCAATGCAAAGAAGACAAAAGTTATGAAGATCAGAAAGAAGCCCGATGACAACGACGAAACGACCATCAGAATCAACAACGAGCCGATAGAGAACGTCAAACAATTTACTTATCTGGGAGTAGTCTTCACAGACAATTACGATGACAGTGTGGAGATAAAAAGGAGACTTGCGATTGCCAAGAACGCGACTGTCGCCGTAACAAAGATCTGGAAAGACAAAAACATCTCTCTTCGAACCAAAAAACGACTTCTCTCCTCTTTAGTGTTCTCAGTTGCCACCTACGGAGCTGAATGCTGGTCCACCTACGGAGCTGAATGCTGGTCGCTCAAACAGTCTGACAGAAATAGAATTGACAGCTTCGAGCTCTGGTGTTACCGACGTCTGCTTCGTATCAGCTGGACAGAGAAGAAAACCAACGAAGAAGTGCTCCAACAAATCAACTGTGAACATCGATTGATTGACATCATCAATGCAAGAAAGCTCAAATTCATCGGACACATCCTACGCAGCGACAACCTCGACAATGTGCTCCTGACCGGCATGGTCTTCGGCCCCAGAGGGCGAAGACGTCCTAAAACGCAGTTCTGGGACGACATTCGCCAGCTAACCGGTATGGGCATCAGAGAAGCAGTTCGACTGGCACAGGACCAGGGACGGCTGGAGACTGATGGTGCAGAGGGCCACGGCTGGTCGTAATCGACCAAACTGTTGATGATATATATATATATATATATATATATATATATATATATATATATATATATATATATATATATATATATACATACATACATACATACATACATAGAGAGAGAAAGAGAGATATATGTATATATATAAAACACACACACACACACATACACACACACACACAAACAGAATACACATTCACATACACACAACACACATACATATACACACATTACACACACACACACACATCACACACACACTAAACACACTAAACACACACACACACACCACACACACACACATACACATACACATAAATGCATACATATACACACAAACATACATACACATACAAGCCTACACACACATACAAGCACACACACACACACACACACACACACACACACACACATATATATATGTGTGTGTGTAAATATATATATATATATATATATATATATATATATATATATATATATATATATGCATATGTATATATATATGTGTGCACACACACACACACACACACACACACACACACACACACACACACACACACACACACACACACACACACACACACACACACACACACACACACACACTCACACACACTCACACACACTCACTCACTCACTCTACCGCGATAGC